TTGTGTCTCAAAGACTATTATTGTAAGTCTTTTAACTCTGGAGCACAGGTTGACAGTGCTCTTTAGTTCTTGAATATAGCACTTTCATCTTTTTGAATCTTTAATCCGGTACCAAACCATCTGGTCGTTCTTAGTGGACACGAGTTTCTTTATGTAGGTTATTAAATTCAATTAAATACCTTGGAAAATAATATAAATCTTCCCTCTCATGGGGTTTCCCAAACGTTTGACATATTTGCTTGTTTCAATTAATACGACTTATCCAGACATTCTTTCTTAATCAGTTGAAAGAAAGTTCAGCCTTGTCTTTAATGGTACTTTTGACCATTATTCAGTTATTAAGAATTAAGTCCTGTTCTTCATTGCCAATTGAAGCTTTCAGACAAGTCAACTCTCTTGTACATCTGCCTACTTCTAAGAATATTAACAAGCTCACTTATCACTCTGCCAAAGATTTCCTGACACTCCCAAGTCCTTGAAGAGGAATTTGGCGCTGTCAAAGAGTTTCCAGTTTAACTCTGTGTTGCTGGTACATATTCCATAGGATTTTCAGATAGGAGGCAATTCCGTTTAAGTATTGGCATGTCTGTGGATATCTGCTAAGCGGGAACTGATGGCTTCATTTTACAAGAGTCAACATGAATTTGATTGGAACCACTTTTTGCAGGCAGTAACCTTTGTCCTTGCTGGACTCTTTTTGTGAGGCACTTTTAGGCTGGCTTTCATGGTGACCTCTGTATTGCAATCCTCTGGGCCTCTGTGGTTCTTGAGACTTTGCTGGCATTTTGCTTGTTGCTCCCAAGATAGATTCATTCCATTCTAAAAATGCCTTAACTAACATGTTAAACTTGACTTCCCTAAATCATGTCTCTTTGTTTGGGATGACATTTTGTTGCCCTTTGGAATATGTGCGTTAGAAAGCAAATGTTTAAGTGGGTCATTTCTGATTAGTAAAAAGATATATTTATACAATTGCAGCTAACGTTTTATTGGATGGATTGCCTTACCATATCCTTTAAATTACCAAACATAAGTGGAAAATAATGCTTTTTAGCTTATAATAAATGTGTGTAATTAACCTTAATTTATTTTCAAAAGTGCTCCAATGTCTCAAATCCGCCCCCAAAATCTTTAGCTATTGGATCTGGATACGTCTGAGTAGATTATTGCATGCAATGAAACTTTCCTTTACTGACTCTTGGATTTAAGAGGCCCAGAATAGTTTTAGTCTGTAAAATTATTACAGGCTAAGCCTGTAAGATTAATGATAATAATTTGCCTATTTAAATTGTAAAACGGAACAGTTCTACAGCCTAAGAGGAATATCTGATTTAAGTCAAATAATAATTCTTACGTGTTGATATAGCATTTTATCATGTCAAACATTTCAAAGTGCTTCACTGATTTTTCTGTAAAATGTAGTGTCTGTGTATTCATGCACAAACTGAGTATTTGTAAGTGTCAGTCTGGCTGAGTTGTTAGCATTCTAGCCTCTGAGTCAGAAGGTTATGGATTTGAACCTCATGGTGGGACTTTCAACTCACTGTCTAGGCTAATACAGTGCTGGGGATGTGCTGCATTGTTCAAAGTGTCATCCTTTGGATGAGACATTAAACCAAAGTCCTGCCTGCCTGTTCAGGCAGATGTTAGAGATCCCATAGCACTACACAAAAAGAGAAGGGAGTTTTCTCCCAGTGTCAAGGCCAACAATCCCTGAGATAAAATTGATCATTTATTTCATGGATGTTTGTGGGAGATTGCTGTGCACAAATCGGCTAATGTGTTCACCTACAAAAATATAGTGACAGTAAATCCTGCTTTGCCTCTGCGATGTCCTACTAATGTGAAAAGTGCTATATCAAATGTAAGGATTATTATTATTTGAAACTAAGATGACAATTCAGTAAAAATGAATCACTTCATGTGAAACTTCACTTCATGGTGCTATGTTGTGTGGAATCCAACCTCAAGAAGAGTAGAGTTGGATACAGATTTATTGCCAGTCCTTGAAGTTCAAAGATTATGTAGGTTTCAGACACGTACGTCTGACAAGCTGATGACAGTTCCATGGACCATGTGGAGTAATGGCAATGTTGACAAGACAAAGAAGCGAGTAAATTATTTACAAAGTATATGACAGCCAAGGGAAAACTATTTGGTTGTAAGTGTTCTGGTTTCCTATTTTATATTCCCTTTGGGTTCCCCTATTATTATAAATGGAGTTACAAGATGGAATTGTAGCTCCGTTTACCATAACAGTGCAAACATCTGCACGTGTGCACTGAAATTCAGGCCATTTCCTCCAGATTCACCTTCAGATTAATTTACATAAGGGATTATTTCCAAATTCCTTTACTTCTAAGACATTCAACAACACTAGGGGATATTAATAAATTAATATTTTCAAATTGATATATCATCAAAGTGAGTGGGCAACGTTACATGTATCACTTTTATTTACTCAGTGGTGTCCTCATCAATATCTGCAATGTGTTCAGCGACTAGCTGGATCTCCATCTAGAATTGCAACAACAACAACAAAATTACATTTATTGAGCGCCTTTCACATCAGGAGGACGTCCCAAAGCGCTGAACAGTCAGGTGTTCCAATACCAGTGCTGGCGACAAAGACAACTGGAAGCAATTCACTTTTAAACAAAGGCTTATTCTAGCATCACAAAGGGATTTTGTGGCACTTTGCTGTATATCATATCAGGATGTGCAGGGGAAGTGATGGATGCTCCACTAGTGATGAGAGGAAGACATCTTCACACTCTCACATCCCCGGGAGTGTCATCAAGCAAAGCTTGAAAAGGATTATTGGAGTCTGCTCTGTATCAGAATCTTTGATTGCACTCACGTAGAATCATAGAATCACACAGCACAGAAAGAGGCCATTCGGCCCATTGGGTCTGCGCTGGCTCCTAAAAGAACAATCCAACGCAATCCCACTGGCCCGCTTTATCTCCATAGCCCTGCAATCCTGTCCTCCCCAAATACCCATCTACTTCTCTCTTAAAAGTTGTTATTGAATTGGCTTCCACTACCCTTACATCTAAGAATGTGAAGTCAACCAGCTACAATTCTTACAGCAACTGCAAAGGTTTTTACTTCCTCAGTACATAGTGCTTCAGAACATTTTGAATGCATTGCTCTTTCGTGCCACCAACAGATAACACTCCAGGGCAGTGCTGGTACCAACCCTACCAGCATGTGAAGTCTGAGAACCAACAAAGGAACCAAAACAGAGAGCTGGGAAAACTCAGCAGGTCAGGCAGCATCTACGGAGTAAGGAAAGTGAGTCAACGTTTCGGGTCCACGACCCTTCATCAGAACTGGGACATGTTGGGAGGGAGAGTTTTTTAAGACAAGTTGAGAGGGGGAGGCAGGACAAGGACGACAAAGAAGACAGAAAAAAAGACAAAAAAGAAGTATGTGTTAGTTGATGGGTTAAAGAGGTAATAGTGGCATAACGCAAAAGGGGGTTGGGTTGAAACAAAACTGGGGAGAAGAGGTGTTAATAGTGCAGAACAGGCAACACACCAGAGAGACAAAGAGTGTCTAGGGTGATGATTGTAATAACACTCTTTATGTTTAAGGAAGAATTTGTACTAGTTCGGTGCACTAAAGTATAGCTCTGAAGTTCTTTTCAACACTGTAATATGTTCTACAACTCGCTTTTATTATTTTCCAATATCAAACAAACCCATTAGGTGGAGTATAAATAGGGAGGCTCTTCCCAATGCAGATAATGCATTTTCAGTCCTACAAAAGAAAACTATGTACTTTATCTAAATCTGTAGCAATATTGCAAAATATTACCCAACTCAATCTTCATTGATACATACGCTATTTCTCAGATCTGAAACAGTGTGCTACCATTTTCATTGGAAATTTATGATCAGGAACAATACAATGTAATTTATGAACAACATAAATAAAACAGTTGCAAATGTCTAATATATTTTATTTCATTGCAAATGCTTTCTAACTATCAAATTCTGAATTGCTCACATGCAAAAATATTGTACGTCTACTACAAAATGAATCAAGACATTATGGATGATGTTTATATAAACACAGCACATAATTAAATTACCATAGCATGTTCACAGGTGGCACATTTAACTGTCTGAATTTTCTTTCTTTGAAATTAAGGGATTTAGTTTGCAGTACTCATTAATGGTGATGTGATAAGGCACTATATCAAGTGCAAGGATATTATTTTTATTATTATAACGGATAGGTTGACATTCTGGTCAGAACTTTTTGTAGAGCTATATTTAAAGGTTTTTGCAATGTTTGCCACTATTAGCATTTCCCTATTATAAACGTGCATTACCAAAGGCGCTACATGTAATATTGACCAGAATTTCAGCCTGGGGGTGCCTTGATAAGAAATCCAGAAGGCTGTGAATTCAAGCCTCATCTTGGCACTTGGAACTCATGCAATCTAAACTGCTACTCCAATGCAGTGCTGGAGTGTGCTGCATTGTTGGAGGTGCCTTCCTTCGGATGAGATGTTAAATCAAGGCCCTGTCTGTCTGTTCAGGTGGATGTTAAACATCCCATGGTAATATTCAAAGAAGAAGGGAGTTTCTCCCAGGGTCCTGGCCAACAATCGCCCAAATAAAATTGGTCACTCACTCCGTTGCTGTTTATGGGACATTGCTGTCCACAAATTGACTGCCGTGTTTGCCCATAAAACACAGTCACTGCACTTTAAGTATAATCTGTGAAGCGCTTTGGGATGTCCTCCTGATGTGAAAATGATTATTACAATCAGAGCATGAGAATGTTCATAGCAATATAACAATAGAAACCAATTTACATTTATATACCTCCTTGCACGTTAGGAGGACTTGTCAAAGTGCTTGACAAAGATACATGTGTACCTGAGCTGGGGGGAGGCAAGTGAGTTTGGAGAAAGGAGCAGTGACCGAAAGTGCTTTCAAAGAGGTACGTTTTGAGACTTGCCTTGAACAAGGAGAGGGAGGGATTCTGGGATGGGAGTGAGAGAGTGATAATTAATAATTAATCAGGTATTACTGTAAAGATGTTTTACTAAATACTGTATATTCAAAACTCTAACAACTCAACACAAAAAAAATGGTTTAACAGGTGAAAAATACACTGGTCATAACATGAATGACTTTTGTTTGTGCAATAATCTACCATTGATCCCCAGGAAATAATATATCACATAAACTGAACCAACGAATACATCTAATTCAACCATATCTCCAACGATAGACACTGAAGCTTGCCTCAATCAGCACACGGAGGAACACTGGCAAGCAGAGTTCCATAGGAACCTTTCTCATTCCTGTGGTAGGCTGTTCCGTGTGAAGAGGGATACAGAAAGCAAAGGTGTAATTTGACATAATTGAATGCCAGCAGGTTGCCCCCTTTTGCTAGCGCTGGTACTTTGCAGACAGACATAAATCTTCTGTGAGAGAAACTGGGAGATACAGTATATAAAGAGATTAGGACTCTCTTAGGATGTACTGTTCTTTGATAGTTGTGCTGCTGATGGAATCAGTGGCTTGGGGATGCAGGTCCTTGCAAAGTGATCAGCTGCCAACCTTCGTCTGCTCTCACGTCCTGCCACAAAACCCTGATGCAGTTTCTCCACTGGGTTCTCAAGGCACAGAGCGGTCACTGTGGAAGAGTGGTGGGTTGCGATCAGCCGCTCAAGCTGTTTAATTATTTCATAGTCAGGAAGTGCGAGAGTATCAATGTTCAGCCCCAGCATCTGTGAAACAACCTCTCTGAAATCCACCAGCTGAAAAAGTAAGCAGCCAATGTTACACAATCGCTGAGCTAAATGTGCAAACACTTAAAACATCTAACTGTACTGCAGAACATGCACATCAAACTTAACAGGTCTGGTTGGTAGGACTCTCACCTCATGAGTTATCTACCTCTTCCACCTCCTCGATTCTCAATGCAAATGTGTGTGAAATGGGGCTGCATGTTCAACTTGTGAATTGTGGGATTTGACTCCCGGTTAGCAGGATAATAACTTTTTACCGCATAAGTAGTGCCTCAGGATCATAGAAATTACATCATAGGAGAAGGTTATTCAGCCCATTGAGGCTAAAATAATAATAATAGAAATAACAACAATAATAATGCATACATTTGATAATAACAACAGCAAAATTACATTTCTATAGCGCCTTTCATGTCGGGAGGACTTCCCAAGGCGCTGGACATCTAGAGTTACGAACCCGAGCTGAGGGGAAGGTGGAGGGCAGGGGGGGAAGCAGGGAGATCGAAAGCACGATCAAAGAGGAGGGTCTTGAGATGGGTCTTGAAGGTGGCGAGGGAGCGGGCTAAGTGGAGGGACTGCGGGATGGAGTTCCAGAGGGTGGGGGCAGAGTGGCGGAAGGCCCGCCCACCAATAGCGAGGCGAGCGAGGCAGGGGACGTGAAGCAGGCTGGAGCTCGCTGAGCGGAGGAAGAGAGCAGGATGGTGGAGGTCGCAGAGGTAGGGGGGAGCAAGACCATGGAGGACTTTGAATGTGAAGACTGGGATCTTGAACTGTATCCTCTGTGTGATGGGCAAGGATGGGGGTGATAGGGTCGCGGAGCCTAGTGTGGGAGAGGACATGGGCTGCAGAGTTCTGGATAATCTGCAGCCTGTGGAGGGAGGATTTGCGGAGGCCGACAAGCAATGAATTTGCATAGTCGAGCCTCGATATAATGAAAGCAAGTATGAGGGTTTCGGCGGCCTGTGGTGTGAGACAGTGTCAGAGCCGGGCGATGTTGCGGAGGTGGGGGAAGGCAGATCGGGTCTTGGCGCAGATGTGGAGTAGAAAGGATAGTTAAGGGTCAAACAAGCACTTTTCATGTCAGAATGGGGCCTCAAAGCGCATCATGGGATGTTTTGTAAGTGAACATGTACAAAAGCAGCAATCCAAATATCCTGCTCTTTTCCCTGTATCGTTTCTATATTCACCCTCTTCACGTGGAGTCCTGTAGCACAGTGGTTAGAGCACTCGCTTTGCAAGCGAGAGACCTGGGTTTGATTCTCGGCAGGGTGAAACCTTGAGCAAGTTTCTTTACTCCACACTCCTGATAATAATCCCTCAAAACAAAACAATAATAAATTGGCCATTTCAATCCACGACTGTTTGTGGGACACTGCTGTGCGCAATTGGCTGCCGCATTTCGCCCACAAATATACAGTTAATTCACTTTACAGTCTATTCTGTGAAGCGCTTTGAGACGTCTAGAAGACGTGAAAAGCGCTATATCAAATGCAAGGATTATTATTATTATTATTATTATCACTTCATCACCACAGATACAACTGCTGGAGAACTTTCCAGTGCACATATATCAGTTTTGGGTTAAGTACATTTCTGAATTCCTTTTTGTCACATTTCAACTTTTTAAAGTCTACTTTTGTAATGGGTGCCACGTGGAATAAGTTTTCAAGTGTATTTATTGCTAGCAATAAGGAAATATCTGTTCATTATTTATGGTTATTCATCTTTGTAACATTCTGAAGAACATAATGTACAAAGGCGTAATGAGTAACAGTTGCAAACCATAAAATTCTAAAAAGATAATTTACTTTTAATATATTTCTTTTCCATTTTTCTTCACCAAGACAATGAACTATGTATAGGTGGGATGAGTATTTGACAAGAAATGCAAAATTCCAATTTGCATAAGGTTGAATATTGATACCAGATCACTAAGAATATGATGGCTGGCAATTTGGTAGCTAACTCAACAAACATATGATTAGGATTCAGAGGCTCTTCTGGTTTCAAATGCATCTGAGGGACATTGGGTACTGAAGTAATCAAGTGTCCGCTGTGTAATGGGTCTGTGGACATCAAAAGATTGGAGACACTGCTCAGATTGAGGTTTTCCTTAATAGCTGCTGTTGTACATGTCACCCACAAGGAAAAATATAAGAGTATGGGGAAAAGATGGAATAGGACTAAACAAATAGCTCTTAGAGAGAGCTGGCATGGGCGAAATGGGCCAAATGGATCCAGCGCTGAAAAATTCTATGATTCTACAATTCTCCATCGCAACAGGCTTCCAATGAATTTGTCAATATTCAGAGTCCCCTTGTGTCCGTTTCATATATTCATCACCCTCTGTGCCAAGTAATTTTATATAATTTACATAGATTGTCAGAAGGCATTTAAAAAGGTTCCCCACAAGATCATAAGATTAGTTCTGAGGAAGAAGGCCCTTTGGCCCATCTGACCTCATCCTTCCAGAACACCCACCTTACGTCCTCCCATCGCAGCATCAAATGCTTATTTTAAAGAGTTCAATAAGACCTCAGTCAAAGGCAATACAAGAATCACTGATATGAGCCATTTGTCAAACTCAGGCCAGCCGCACCCTACAATTGGGAGGCAAGCGTTCAACTACTATGTCACCAACCTCTCAACCACTCTCTTTCTGTCTTCGATATCTGCTAAAACACCTACCTCTCTAACTGACCCTATGATCACCTCCCTCCTCACCCTGCACTGTCTTTGGAAAAGTCTCCAAGGTGTGAAGGGCGCTATGTAAATACAAGTTCAGATGTTAGCCTTACTTAGTTGGTAGCACTCTCATTTCTGAGTCAGAAATTTGTAGATTCAAGCCCCATCTTGAACTCATAGCTAGGGTGATTCTTCAATGCAGTACTGGAGGTGTACTCCATTATTGGAATTGGATGAGACATTAAACCAAATGCCTGCCTGTTCAGGTGGATGTTAAAGATCCCATAGCACCACTCAAAAAGAGAAGGGAGTTTCTCCCGGTGTCCTGGCCAACAATTATCACCATCATGAAAGAAACATTCCTAACATTCAGATAACCCTCAGTGTTTTTTGCGCAACTTGAAATATTTCAGTTATCTTGAAAGACGGGATGCCATGGCTCAAGAAACAAAGATCCTCCGCATACCAGGAGTAAGCTTGGCTAGTTTGAGTCCCAGAAGAAAAAGAAAAATGTACAAGGAATACAGATCAGAGAATGAACAACCGAGACCAGTGTGACGCTCGAGCGGTAGTGCTTAATGCATGGTCACAATGTGCACTGCACGTATTAAGAGAGAATATGAATTATTATTGTACATTATCATGTCAAAACATCTCACAGCACTTTAAAGGAATTACATTTTGCATACAACAAGGTCCCATAACTGTCGTGAGCTGAATGGACAGGATTCCTTAAAGGTGGGAAGGCAGGTGGACAAAGCCGTCAAAAACTAATGGAATCTTAGCTTTTATAAATAGGGGTATAGAATATAAACTTGGAAAGCTTGAAGACTGAATTCCTACCTGTTTTTCTCTCTTGGCCACTTCCACCAAGGTAATTTTGAGTGTCTTAAGCTCACTAGCCACAGCTTCCAACATGTTCTTGGCTCGCTCTTTATGCTCCATTGCCTCAAATTCGGTAAAGTCCAGTTCTGACTTTGTGGAGATTAACCTTTTGTCAGTTTTCTGCTTCAACTTCTCCAGCTTCTCCAGGGATTTATTCATCTCCTCTATGGTTCGGCTTTGCTCCAGTGTTTTAATCTGTAGATAAATTGTAATCAAGACAACTAAAGAACAACTGGAATAATACACATAATCCTTACATTTGCTATAGCACCTTTCACATTGGGAGGATGTCTCAAAGTTCTTCACTGTAAAATGTAGAGCGTGTGTATTGCATATTGTATTGTATTTACTGTAAAGTGTAGTGACTATATATTTTGTAGACAAACATGGCAGCCAATGCGCTCACAGCAATGTCCAAAAGCAATCATGAAGTGAGTGATCACATTTATTTGGGGGATTGTTGCCCAGGACACTGGAAGAAACTCCATTCTCTTTTTGTCAAAGATAAGCTGAGTATCTGCTACAGCAATGCCTGCTTTGTAATGAAGAAACTTCTTAATCACAATTCTGAGCACTTTCTCATTCAAAGTCACAATATAGAATGGACAGTTCAGCAACAAGTATGAAATTAGCAGATCTTCCAACCTATATGGTAGCTCATAAACCACATGAGCTTTACTCCAATGGGTTATGAGATTTTTCTGAGTCTATCTTCAATCACGTATATCACCTTCTGAGGACTAGTATTATTTATCTAACATTCCCACTGTTTATTCTCCTTCCCCAGTCTCATCATATTGTATGAGTATATCTCATATAGTCTCAGTTGACACTCCAGTGCAGTATTATGACAAGCACCTTCCTTCACATGAGATATTAAACCAAGATCCCTTCTGCCTGTTCACAGTAGGATGTTAAAGATCCCATGGTGCTATTTGAAAAGAGAAGGGAGTTTCTCCTGGTGTTCTGGACAATAATCCGCAAATAAAATTAGTCATTCACTCATGGTTGTTTGTTGGACATTGCTGTGCACACATTGGCTCTCACGTTTGTCTACAAAATATATAGTTACTACATTTTACAGTAATTCCTGCAGAGTGCTTTGAGACATCTTGTCACGAAAGGTACTATATCAAATCTAAGGATTATTATTATTATTTGCCCATTTTAAATGGTATTTGTCCCTTGTGAGCTCAACTCTAATCTAAACATATCCCTCTATATTTAGTTAACTTGTTATTTACAATTTCTCCTAGTTTGGTAACATAAAATGTATTTTATCCCTATTTCTATATCAATTATGTACAATGGAATGACACAGTACTGAGCATGATGAAATATGCCATGCCCTTGACCTTTCTCAAATCTACTGGACTCAGATCCAGGAAACTAATGTATTTTCATAACGCTTTTATTCTTTACCAAAAATGGTCATGTGATTTCCTTGGCATGCTTTATCACATGGGCTAAATCTAAGGTTACTGACCTAACCTTTCTGGTAACCTATTCCAGCTGTTCAATATGAAATTCCAGCTGAAATAGAGACCAGACAGACTGACTGTAACTACAATTTGTTTTCTCTAAAGTACCTTAAGTTCATGTGTATCAGAGAGTTTTGCCTTCAGATCTGTGTTTGAGGCACGCACTGAACAGAGTTCTTTCTCAAGGCGTTCCAGTTTTTTATGCAACTTTCGTACTGTTAGGTTAGCTTCATCCCTCTCCACTGCCAGGGCTGTACGGGTCAGTTTCTCCTCTTCCAATTGGGCAATTTTTTTTCTCAGCAAATCCATGTGTAGCTCCTTGCTGTGTAGCCTTTCATTCAGGCTTTTCAGCTGCAGAGGTAAACAATGTTATTTTTTTTTCATCATTTTGTTGAATCTGAAAATATTTGAACTTCTCTGTACATTTGAGTGTGGCAAGCAGTGTAGTTTAGTTTGCAAACTTTCTGGTTACCGCTTGAAAAATTTGATTTGATGTAAGTGGTTTGTTTCAAAACTGCTGTCTACTTTGACAAAAGTAAGGCAATGCATAACCCAGGATAAAATGAATAAAATCAAACCTCTAACCGTGTGTGTGTGTGCATGCATGTATATCAACAAGCCCTACCTGGGAGTGTGTATTAACAATGCTAAAGGCAACACAAGTGTAAACACATTGTTTAGATTTAGCTTTTGATTTAATGCAAGGAATAGGCCAGCAATATGATAGGATTTTGTTTATGACGTAATTATATTTCTGGTATTGTTTATAAATAACTAAATAAATAATTTAACTAAATAATTTGCATTTGATTTAGCACCTCATCATGTTAGCAAAATGATAAGAGAGTGTTTCACAGGATTTTACTGGAAAGTGCAGTTACTGTGTATTTACAGGCAAAGCAGCAGCAATTTGCTCACAGCAATATTCCACAAACAGCCATGAACTGAATACCATGCTGTACAATCATGCTGTAAAGGCCAGAATTCAATGGTGGTGCCAGGGGAAGAGGTTAACTATGCACATTCAAGCCACAAAGGAGACGCATGTACAGATCAGGGAGATATTAACGAATACAATAAATGGGATTCTAATATCCCAACTATGTTACAACATTCAGAAAAGTGTGTAGATTAGGATGCATATATGTAACAGTGCTGCTCTGCTGGTGTGCAGAAAAAGATCAACATGGTGAAGCTTTGTTTGATTACCTTTGAGAGCCAAAAAGAATTTTGTAGGGCTTCCTCTCAGGAAATGCAATGAGCTTGGCAGTGTCCACATTGGGAGTGGTTGTACATGACTTACGGAAGGACTGGACTAGATGGGTAAGTGGCCTCTGTTCAATTCATACTTTCTTGTATTTTCAATTTAAATAACATCTTACCTCTTAGATCACGAGGAAACAAAGGAACATTAAGTGAGACAAACTCAAGATCTGTCTGTCTCAGGTTGCTCTACCTTTCTCCTCAAGTTGTACAAAAGAGTCTTATTTTCAGTGATTGCCTCACTCTCCATTGTAACCAGCTGATCAGCTCGGGCAAAGATGGCATCTAGCTGCAAGTCAAACCCAATGTCTGCTGTCATCTTCTCCAGCTTCATTTTCTCAGACAGCTGTTCCAAAAACCTGAGATACTTCACAGAACATTAACATCTTAAATAGAGTTGGCTCAAATCCTTTATTAATAATTATTATATTTATCCTTTAAAAATAATTTATTTCAAATAAATGGAATAGAATCAATAGCAATTTGCCCACTAAAACGGCATCAGTTGTTTTTGAAAGACGCAAATAATTATTTACTTGGCATCAAAGCAGTTGTTTCAGTTAATGTAAAAAGATACCACAAGGTGACTGGCTTCTGATTGGACCCCTTCTTTGTAAGCAAAATATTCCATCACTACACTGTACAGTAAATTCCTGTGAAGAACTTGGAAACATCTTCTCAACATGAAAATGCTCCACATCAATTGCAAGGAGTATTATTGTTATTATTATAATAATAATCCTTGCATTTGATATAGCGCTTTTCACGTCGGGAGGACGTCCCAAAGCGCTTCACAGAACACACTGTAAAGTGAATTGACTGTATATTTGTGGGCGAACGCGGCAGCCAATTGCGCACAGCAATGTCCCACAAACAGTCGTGGATTGAAAATGACCAATTTATTATGGTTTTGGGTTTTGGAGGGTTTATTATTAGGCTCTGTGTGGAGTAAGGAAACTTGCCCAAGGTTTCGCCCTCTGACTGGAATTGAACTCAGGTCTATTGCTTGCAAAGCGAGTGCTCTAACCACTGAGCTACAGGACTCCACATTATAGTATATTTACAGCACAGAAGGAGATCATGTGGCCCATTAAGTTGGTGATACTCACCGCGCCCCCCACCCCAATGCAGCTCTACATTCTGGTGTCAATTCTCAGCTCTTTCCCTGCGTCTCTTATATAGTATTGTTTCTCTTCGATACTTATCCAATTCCCTTTTATTTCTGAGGTGAACACAGACACCTGCATCTCCATCCCTTCTTTCCCAACTTCAGCTCACAGTATAGATTCGCCTATAGAATAAACACAGTCACTAACTACACTGCATAATAAATCCTGTGAAGTGCTTGAAGATGTGATATAGGCTCTTACGAAAACATCAATAAAATAAAAAGGTTGACTGGTGCATTCCTTTACCTCACAGCTGACAGGCAGTTGTGAAGCATATTAGCGAGTTGAATTGAGTGAATAACTTTGTTTGATCCAATGACATGTCCTTACTTTCTGTTTATCCTGGCTCATGTCATCATGGAGCACATCTCCAGTCAGAAGTTGACCCTCCAAGTATCGAACTTTCTCCAGGAGCTCAGGCAACTTCTGCTCAGCCTCCTGTGCACTCCGCAGTGCCAACTGGTGCAGCTCCCTCTGTTTCTCCAGCTGCTCTGTTAGTTTGCTCATTCTCTCTTCCAGTTGTGACACAGCCTAGTAGAGATATTAAAACAGCACTGTTTGAACAGAAGAACGGCAATTAAAAATTATATTTGAGATTTATTTTATGAGAAGCGACCAGATTGTCTTGCAATGTCTAGCCAGAGAAAATTAATATCACTTTTTATTGTGCTGCAGTGTAACACACTGCCAAAGTGCTTCTATGCCATACATAAACTGTAAGTAGGAATGAAGTGATGGAAAAGGTATAACCTTACCCTTGCTGACGAGAACAATTTAAGGACAGACACCAGGAAGTAATTGTTTACCCAATTAATAACTGGAACAAATAACTAGGAAGGATGGTCGAGGGCAGGGTGATGGGACTCATTTAAGAAGAAGCTTGATGTTGTAATAGAAAGGTGGGCTTTCTGGAAGGATGAGATCATATGCACCAAAAGTCATTTGTAATCTAAGTCTCTCTTGCAATCTTGTAAACTCTAGGCCATGACACTATTCTCACTTTATAGAAAGCAAATGTTTAAGTGGGTCATATAAGAGGATATATTTATAGTATAATTGCAGCTAACTTTTTATTGGATGGGTTGGCTTACCATACCTATAAATTACCAAGCATTAGTGAAAAATAATTCTTCTTGGTTTACAAATGTAAGGATTATTATTATTTGTAGCTAAGATGACAAACTCCCAGGCAACAGATACTCTCAGACGAGAAGATCATATACAAACTAACATGAAGCTAGATATCCACTTGAGCAGAAATAAATCTTTAAAATAGAACTGAGGAAGAAATCAGAGTTCCAAGCCCTCCGGGATGCTATTTCAGTGAAGGACGCTATACAGATTCAAGTTGTTGTTGAAAGCACGTTCTACGATTTACTGTGAAGTGCAGCGACTGTATTTTGTGAGTGAATGCAGTCGTCAATTTGCACACATCATCGTCCCACAAACAGACATGAAGCGAATGATCAATTTTATTTGGGAAATTATTGCACACTGAACGCTCAGAGAAACTCCCTTCTCTTTTCCAGTATTTGGAAATAAATAATATAATGACAAGTAATGTAGAGCTTTCAGTACAATTTAAAAAAAAAATGATTCCTCAACCTCCCCCTCAAATAAAATAGAAATATCAGTTACCACTGTACAGGTGGGACTGTGTATTCTGTTTACAGGTAAGTCAAGCAAACAAAAGGAAAGTTGCGACAACTGCAGATTATGTTTGCTCATGCTGGTTATGATGCTCAATGTCACAATCACCAAGTGTAAGACATAAATTACATGCAGTGCTGCATTGAGGGTGAAGTGTGCAGCTGGGATAGAGAGAAGGGGTTGAAGCACCTGACCTGAAAATGCTTAATGCAAACACTGGGTGACAACAACGAAAGCAGGCTGCGATCCCCATCACTCTCTGACTTTCCGCTTTGATACACACAAACAATGTCACCGAAACATAAATTAAAAGAAAACTCGTAAAGTCTTAGTACTTTGAGACGAGAAATTACATAGGCTGGTAGATCACCTGCGTGCCTGGTCTCTTTGAATCCTGCCAGAAATTTCTAGAACTCAATGGACCGGGAAAAGTGGGAAGCTCAGGAAACTCTGTTTACCTCCCGACCATGAGAGTAAGATCCACTTGCTTGTCTGGGTTGATCAACGTAATAGTAGTCCAATAGTCACCCCTTGCTATTGCCGGGGGGAATGACTAACAAATACATGCCAATGGTGGGTGATGCTTATTGGCATGTATTGAAACGTTTTGTACCACTTATAGGAATTGCTCCAAGCAGTATAATTACAGAGGAGTTGTGGATGTGTGGGGAGGACGAAGGGGAGGGGAGATCTAAGTGCCTTTACAGCCAGAGGGAGACGTGAAGAGGAAAGGCAAAGCTAAATCATTAAAGAAATTTAGGGCACAAGCCAAAGGAATTTGTTAATGCTTTTTTATGAGCACTTAAATATTGTCTATCCAAAATGGGAGCTGTTCCAAAAAGCAAGTCAGGTTTGGGGCACTCCCATTTCTAGTACAGAACAAATAAAGTACTGTAAAGTACCAGACAATATAGAGCTGAGTATATGCTTATGTTTTATAAGTAATAAATATACTCGTAATAACCCTCAAACCTTTGCCAGACCGTTAATAATGACTTTTATCTGACATCTGAATGGTAATTGGAATGCACTGAAGACAAAGAGAAAGAATCACAAATGAAAGAGAACTAGAAGCCTGAAAGAGTGGTGGAAGCAGATTCGATAACAACTTTTAAGAGAGAAATAGATAGTTATTTGGGGAGGACACATTTGAAGGTTATGGGGAGAGAGCGGGGGAATGGGATTGATTTGGATAGCTCTTTTAAAAGAGCCGGCACAAACATGATGGGCAGAATGGCCTCCTTCTGTGCCTTATAATTCTATGATTCTAGATATCGAGGGATAGAGAGAGCAAGAGTGAGAAAGAGACAGAATCCGCCGGTTTCAATTTGACACATTTGTTCATCTTATTTTGTTATTTTTATCTTTTGTAATTTCTTGTATTTCATCTTATAGGGACGTTAGGTATTCACAACTTGGATAACAGGAACAGGTTGAGGCCATCAGTCCATCAAGCCTTTTCCACCACTTTATTCGATCTTGGCAGATCTTTTAATCCTAATGTCCCGTCCCTTTACCAATCCCCTTAGCACCTCAATAGTATCAAATTTGTTGAACCGTTGGAGTGACATAGGACAATCAACTTGTAACACTTATGCCCCACAACATTAATGTCATTGAAACTGATCTAAAGTCTTGTGCCTTTTACTTCTTCCAGGCTTCCCCAAGTATTTCCAAGACAAGATAGGCCTAACATTCCTCCGGATGATAAAAGCAGAAATATCCACAATTTAACAAACATTTGGAAAGCACATTAACAAATTTCCAATTAGCAAAAGTCATCAAAATCAAGAGAGAGGCACCTACAACAATGTGATATTCACACAGGCAAGGATCTAGGAACAGGAGTCATCCATTCAAACAACGATCTTAGATTTTAAGGCAAAATCATCCTAGAAGCTAAAACTTGGTGAAATTTCAGGCCAAGCATGCCTGGTAAGAGGCAGTTTTTTTCTTGGGCCTAAAATTCTTTTGTGTCTCCATCTGTAAGATGGTTCTGTCTGAAAAATTGAAATGGTGCAGAATTGTGGAAGATTCTTAAATTTACACCTAATTGGAAGCTAATTTCCCGCAGTTCTGAAAAGAAACTGGTTTCAAATTTATGACTGATTTGTAAGAATTCTCCGCAATTCCTCACCATTTTAAATGTTCAGACCAAATGGTTTCATAGCTAAGACTAGATGACTTTTCAGGCCTTTTATGTGTAGATATTGGAACGATTTGTGCGAGTTCATCATTAGTTCTACAGTAGAGTTTTTGCAGCTACTCCTTTACACTGAGCAGATACTGCTACTCAGCGACTCCAATTTAAGGCCATCATTCAAATACAAAGACAGCTTTGTGATTTAGCTATCGGGAAAGTAGAATTCGTAATGAAGAAGATCAGCAAGGAAGACGAAAATAAATCATGTTTAATTGGTGCTGGAGGAGATTTATGCTTATATTTCCTCTAAGATTTCGGGATTTATGTTTCAGGCCATCTCTACCACTTGTATTTGAGGATTTGTCAAGGTTGGCTATAATTTGGTGCTAGGTTTCTGATTTTACTTTTTTGGGGTGGAATTGCCATTGATCAATTTTGAAGGATGTTCTCGCTAGAAGAATGAACAATTGTACCTTGGGCACCCAATATCAGACTCCAGATCTCTTAGATCTGATTAGGTACAAGCTAAACTCCCTATAGCCTACCTAACCCAACAAGATACCTGGACAACAATGTTAAAGACCATTGTTTGTTGCACCAGAGCAACACTATCAGTTTTCCAAACAAGTTATCCTGTGTCCCTTAGGAGTGAGATTGCCAGGTCAGTGGTGAAAGGGCCACCTTCACTCAAACTAGGTTGAAATTGGCCAAACACGTGTCACCTGGCAGTCCAGACAGAGGAAACGTTCACTTTAGACATTTTTTATTGTGGAACATATGGAACTGACTACGTGGACATTAATTTTGTTGACAATAACTCCCAACCCCTTTTCAAATTTTTACTGAAGTAAACCAAGTCCAAAGGTGAAGTGATATAACATTACTGAAACAATACTATTACAGCAACTTCCAAGTAATTTTAAATGGATGGATTTACGTTTCCAATATGGAAATCAAATGCATAGTATGGAGGGGTGGCAGAAATAGGGCATGTGATGTGATCATTATAAAAAGGGCAGAAAATGCAATCAAAGCGTGTGCTTAAAACCCGATCTAAACCTATTCGAACACTACCAGACACCTCTCTCCAACCCCCAACCAACCCACCCCACCCCCCACACACACACATCTGGGGAATGGTTTCTTGCTCGGACATATTTAGAAACAAAATGATGATTTTTTTGAAATCCACCAGGAACTCAAAATAATTTATTTTAATTCACAAAGCGGAGGTTTAACCTTTAATCTTAATTTTAAAACATTATCTGGCAAAGGGAGATTGAATTGACACCCAACTCTATCTTTCTGCCTCCATCCTCAACTCCAGGACCACTGCTATCCTGACAGACTGTCTGTCGGACATCAAGTCCTGAATGAGGGCAAATTTCCTACAGTTGAATGTGAACAAGACTGAGGCCCTTCTGATTGGCTCACACCAGCGCCTCAGCACCTCAGGCTCTGATAACATCCACCTCCATGGTTGCACACTACAACTCACCGAGCCAGTCAGGAACCTGGGTGTCTTGTTCGACCCTCAACTGTCTTTTCTTCCCCACATCCAAGCCATGACCCGCTCTGCCTTCCCTCACCTCCATAACATTGCCCGACTACACCACTACCTCACCCCTCAGGTCGCTGTAACTCTTGTTCGTGCCTTCATCACCTCCAGGCTCGACTATGCAAACGTCCTGCTTGTCGGCCTTCCCAACTCCTCCCTCCACAGGCTGCAGATAATCCA